TCAGGTAAATTTTCTCCCTAGAAAAGAGCAAGTAAGCCAAGAGGAAGAATGATCACTTCCACTCATGTGGCTCAAAAAACACAAACACCCAAACCCTAGGATTCAGCAAAGACAGTCGGAAAGGAAGACGAACACAAAGGCAGAACTGCATTGTTCTGTGGTATCCTGCTCTGTTTGTATCCCAAACATGGGCATCCTGTAACAGGCATCTACAGCCAGAATAAAGAACACGTGTGAAAATGACACAGAGTCACCGTGGGACGAGGAGGGCAAACACAACTGCTGCTCCCTCTGATCTCCAGCTGATATGTGCAAGTTTAAGGTAACGAGGGAGTGACCCAGGCAAAGTTGAGTTTTTTCAAAAATCCTCAAATGTGTGCAGAAGTATGTAATCTGGAGGGCATGTCAGGATTTCATCACATTCCAAAATACTGCAGAAGGAAAGAATTCGATTACACAGCTCAGCCAGGTCCCCAACAACCTCAAACCACAAAGGGGAGGTTTCCCTAAGAAGACAAGGTTGCAGGCCCTGCTGCTTCCAGAAAGTGCCGACGCAGCAGCCTGTTGTGACAATACGGAGATCATATCTGTATCACTGGAGTCAGGAATTTACGTTTTCAAAGGAAGTCCCTTCTCGTAAGACATCAAGAATAGTGGTTTACTCTCACCAAAGCCAACAGCACCATGATTAAGTAACGCAGGTAATTTGAGTAAACTAGGGTCTAGAACCTCAAGATGGGAGACTGTACCAGGTGTGATATCTGCAGTAATGCAACATACACATTTACACCACCAGCCTGTACTCTCTTCCCCACCATTCCTGACAGTTTACACAATCCTACATTGAACTGGAAAGTTGCACACACAACTAGAAAGGGAAACCAAGGTTTACATCCATCGCTATTTTATGCTCAGTTAGAGAACTATCTATGACTGTGTGTTTTCATATGACACACAGAATTTAATTCATGATGTTGAAAATCTAAACACAAGTCTATGGTATGTTTCACTCCTTCTTACCCCAAAATTGGATCGAAGAGCTTATCGACCACTACAGATTATCTGTTTGGTCATACAGTAACACCACAAATAATAAAAGTAACGATAAAAGTAATTAAGAAATTGCCTCCAAATTCGAGAGAATGTCCTCACAGCCTGTGGCAAAAGATATCACCCCACAGTTGAACAGCGTATAATGGATCCTAAATCCAAATTCATATTGCGAAAGGGCCTTCTCCCTAATCATTAACAGCACAATGAGCTGTCATCAGCCTCTTGTGCTTGGGTTTCCAAAACACATTTTACATGAAGTTTAGAAAACACACGCACCACGAGCAAGAACATAGCCGTAAAAGGCCGGCATCTAAATCTGGAGATTGACAAGTCAAGACGGGGCCACAGACAGTTAGTATTAAACATGAAATCAAAACACACAGTTTACTCGAGCCCTGCTACTGTAAAAGCCTGATCGCTCAAAACTGTTTCAAGCCTTTAAAGTATGCTCCTCTAGGAGGCAATGCCATTTTTCCTTCTCTCTCTTCCGATGGAGCCCACCCTGGTGGGTGAAGAAAAAAATTATTTGTTAGAAGAAATTCCAAACCGCACCACCCCTTCCCAGATTCCAGCTCACCCGTACTTGGGGAACAGGGTCTGCCTTACCATAGAACTGTAAGGACTGTGATGAAAGTCAGATTTCTCTCCTCCCCGTCTTTTTTTAACCCTTCCCCCCTCCCCAAAAAAACTGCTGCGAAAAGGACTCAGAGAAAGGGCATAGCTTGAGTTGACCATGTATTCTTGTTTTGTTTTTTCCTTCCCATGATCTAAATTAAGAAGAAAAAAAGCATAGGTTTCACGGTCAAGACCATAGGCATGGACATGAACACACACACATCCTGACACACACACACACACACACACACACACACACCACCCCACTACTCACCCAGCAATTCAAATTGAGGTGCCAACTGCCCAACTGCTGGAACAGAGAGACCCCGGAGGCCGCTGCACCTCCCTTACCACTCAAATCTTCCATTCCCACTAAGATTGTATCCCTAGGGTACATAACAGCTTGGGTTGTCCCTCTCTCCACCTCTAAAAAAACTTTCTCTGTACCTTCAAGATGGGACTGGGCCAGTTTTTTTTCCTCCTCCCTTTCTGCTTTTCTCACTTTTCTTTTTCCTCCCAGCTTCCCCTCCCTTTAAATCTTTCACTTAAAGAACTGGAAAAAAGCATCTAAAAAGATCGAAATGGCTCCAGATTCCTGGCCAAGTAGGCTCAAAATGCTCAAAGTTGTCGCTCATATTGCCTAGAATTATTGTGTTAATCCTTCTCCCTGCACACACACCCCTAAAAAAAATCTTAAAAATAAAAACCAAAAAACCCACTAATAATCTAGAGTTCAGCTGGTTGCAGATTTAATTTTTAAAAAAAATTTTTTTAAACTCCTTCTACTTTCTAATCTTTGCCACTACAGAATCCGTGAAGGAAGCAGGAAGGTCCATGTTCCCCAGCCAGCTCAGGGCACCTCAGCAAAGTCCCCTCCCTCACCCGTTACCTTGGGCAGCAGGAACAGAGCTGCCGCTAAGAGTAGCAAAGAAATTACGGTCAGCCATGAGGGAAAATGATCAACCGAGTGCAGTAGGCAGGCACTTTATCTGCAAGATTGTCAAATCCCTCAAAACAAATTTCTTAGGGAGAGGGCTGCGATGGGAGAGGGGAGGGAGGAGGAAAGGATATTTTCTTGTCACAGTAACACGGAAGTGACACTTTGCAGGGCCTTGCCTGCCCCATATACACCCTCTCTTCCTTCCAGACTAACAGACGGTACCTGAAAGATTTTCAACTGACCTCTCTGGAAGCAGAAGCAAGGAAGCTTCCTGGGCTCACTGGTATTCCAGTAGTCAGAATGCTAACTCACTTTTTTTGACTGTTGAGTTTTGTGAGCTTTCCCCAGGAAGAGAGAGAAAGAAGGAAGGGAAACGGCAGAGGGATGTGAAGGCTAGAGCTGAATCCCACAAACCCTACTTACTTTTCCCGGGGCTCTTATGGGATCCAGGGTCGGGTACATTTGTGTGGGTTTAACTTAACTTGAGTTGAGACACTCAGACATCACAGGCCAGAAATCATCCTCTTTTACATGAAGGAGGGGAGTGTGGGAGGGTGGCTGCTCAAAGAGGGATTACAGGCAGAAAAAGTTCCAGGGGACAAACTCATCCAGAACGCTTCTCCGGTCTTTTCCCACCCCAAGTGGTAAGTCATTTCCCCTTCTTCAAAAGCAAATACACAATTCCGATTTGCATACAGGTAAGAAAACACCCCTGCTGCCACATGGGATCCTGGACTTGGTGTGGCTTGAAGCAAGACCAGTGGCAAAGATTTGGTTCCTTCTGGCTGCAGGACACCTCACGTAGAGAT